CCAGCAGATGCACCCGCAGTGAGAAAGATGTGCGAAGGGTCCGAGGGGAAGCCATCCCGTTCTACAACCAGAGGTCAAGGCGATCTATAGAAGAAGACGACTAAATAGGACTCACCCTCGATGAACTTGGCAACGCTTTGGCGAATGAATGGCACGCCTTGGCTGTGCGAGTAGGCGCCGACAGAGCCAATTTCTCTGGACAATTCCTTTGCGCGTTCGATCACATCTCTAGGGAAAACCTGCGGGGCAAGTTCGATGAGAGCTGGCCACTCCATTAAAGCGGCGACCTGAATAGGGGTAATCGTCAGTCGATCCGAAGAAAGCAAGGGCGAGTCAACAGGAGCTACCTGGCGAGTAAAAGTGATCGGCGGTTGATCCAATCCTTTCTGCTGAGGGTTTCCAATGTTGGAAGAGATGACATTGTCGAAAGGCAAATCGTGGTCAGGCTCTTTGAGTTTTTCACGGAAGGCGTCTGCCTTGATTGCCAGCTCGCCACGAACAGCGTACTCGACCTTGTGGAAGGTCGGGTTGACGGCGTGAGTGGTTAATTTGGGCATGGATGACTTGAATCGGGTGGTTGAGGGTAAAGAGGATGGTGCTTTAATCGATCTGGATGGTGTAAAACGCGTCTGCCTCAAGGCAGGAGCCGGACATATGATAGAAAAGCCGGGTTTGTGAGGAATGCAGGAACGCAACGGCATGAGTCACCTTGCAAGGGGCTCGTGACTAACAGCAAGGCCCTCCCGCTGGCTGGCTCAGCCTAGAAGGATTACAGGGGAGAAAAGACAAGGCTAGTACGTATTCCAGTCCTGCCTTTATACCAGCTGCCCTGAGTCTGCTGTGCAACACTGCACCACTTGAACTTTGCCAAATGAAATTTTGAATGCGGACCGGACACCCGCTCCGACATATCTGCGCCGCATGTGACCGTGACAGCCGACGCTTTCCATTTCAATCACAGCCAAATAGCCGTCGACCAAAATTTCAAGAACGCGTCTGGCGAGCATTGCACAAAAGCAGACTGCCCCTTCCTCATGCCCGACTCTTTCTTCTCTATTCCCAAAAAGCGGAAACGCTCAGAAAAGAAGGTCGTCAACCGTCCGAACCGAAAACCAAGAAAAAACGAGGACTTGTCCGACCAAACCGACGAGGATGGCGGTGATATTGACGACATGGATTTGCGGGCGGAGGAGGTTGACGAGGGTGCCAGTGGAGAAGAGGACGAGAATGAGACACCTGCTCAAAAACGCCTTCGCCTAGCCCAACTCTATCTCGACAGTGTTAAAACAGGTTTAGGTGTGTACCTTAGTTTACTTTCGACCATCACGTTCATCTAAGCAATCTTTTAGCGGACGGTGAATTCGATGCTGCCGAAATTGACAAGGAGCTCGTCTCTGCGAGGCTAAAGCAAGACGTTTTGGAGCATTCTGGGAAGGTTCACCTCTTCATTGCAGATTCAGTAACGTGTTTTCCATTTTTCCAAGTATTTCTATGAGGTTTCTCATTCTATATACCTTGCAGTTTGACTTCACCCAACCTCCAACTTCCGTACTTCACACTCGCGGACACCGTCTTTCAGTCACTGCCCGCCGTCGCTTCAGAATCTGGTCAACATTTATTTACATCCGGCAAAGAAGGCCATATTATAAAATGGCATCTTTCCACAGGCAAAAAGGTTTCATCTTTCTTCAAAGTCCGAACGCCTTCCTCGGATAGGAAAGGCAAAGGGAAGGCCGCCCCAGATCCGACAGTTAAAGGACACACCGACGAAATTCTCTCTTTGGCTTTGAGTGGGGATGGAAAGCTGCTAGCAAGTGCCGGTCGTGATCGTCGTTTATGTGTTTGGGATGCAGAAAAGGGCGAATGGATAAAGTCATTTTCGGGGCACTTGGGGCATAAGGATGCAATCAGTGTAAGCCACACATTCTTAACAGAAAAGCAAATGATTTACGTGCTATGATGCAGACTGTCGCATTTCGCAAAGGGACGACTGACCTGTATTCGGGCTCATTTGACCGGACTCTCAAAGTTTATGACCTCTCTCCTTCGGTGATGGGCTATGTGGAAACGTTATTTGGACATCAAGATCATGTCTTAAGCCTTGACGCGCTTCGTGGAGATACATGCATCTCCGTTGGCGGCCGCGACAAAACTGCCCGATATTGGAAAATTGTGGATGAAACACAGCTGGTATTTCGCGGTGGAGGTAGAAGTCGAATTCGGGAAGTTCTCGAGGGTGGTCTTCGTGCAGATGACGAAGGGGATGACGTTGATGCAGGAGATGCGGAGTTGGTGCCTAAAGCCAAAGGAAAAGAACGGGAAAAAACGCAATACGTCGAAGGCAGCCTGGGAAAGCATTGCTATGATTGACGAGACAACATTTGTCAGCGGAGGGGATAGTGGGCAAGTTGTTTCCTCCAAAAAGCGTTCTTCCCAGTACTGATTTGAGTCTTGTAGGTCAATATGTCTTTGGACGACTCAGAAGAAAAAAGCCATCTTTACGCAACCACTTGCTCATGGCCTAAATGAAAGTCTTTCAGAGTCGGAGGATGTTGTTAAGACTCCTCGATGGATCACCGCTTTGGCGAGCTTACGGTACTCTGACATATTTGTATCTGGTAAGGATAACGGCATATTGAGCTCTTCGTTCATCTCAAAGTCTGCGTGCTGACGCGTCTCTCACAGGTTCATGGGAAGGTGGCATACGGAATATGGAAGATAGACTCAAAACTCAAGTCATTCAGTCTTGTTGGCAAGATCCCAGCCCAGGTGTCATAAATTCGCTGCAGCTTTTAACCGCGCCAAAAGGTTTCCTACAGACCGCTCCATGGGCTGTACAGAAACCAGCCTCCGTAGGTGAACAAAGTGCTCCACATACTAAGCGGAAAGACCTCAGCGTGAATTCATTTTTGATGGTGGCCGGCGTGGGGCAGGAGCACAAATTGGGTAGATGGTTGAGTGTCAAGGAAGGAGGTGCCAGGAATGGTGCACTTGTTGTAGCATTTTCACCTCGGACATTGGCTTGATTTATTACTACTCTCGTATTATATGATGCTCGATCTTACGTTCTACTGTTCCAAAATGTGTGGGCCAATTTTTTCGTAAATTTTCGCTTCACCGACAGTAAGTACGTTACTTGGCCGTTCGAGTTGTAAAGAGTGATATTCTTTTGAGTGCGAGATGGGATGGCGATCCCACATGTCCCATGGCTTAGTTGGTTACGGCGTCCGACTGTTATACATGCTTGAGTGGCATCGGAAGATCGAGAGTTCGAGTCTCTCTGGGACAGCTCGATAAGTCGTCATTTCTTTTTTTGCGCAGAGCTGTTCGTTGGATAGAACACATGTAATAGATAAGCATTTAGACTACGAAGCACGTTTTTGCTAGTGGTTCTTCGGCGCTTAAATACCGTGAATCAAGAGCATTGTGCGCCACACTGTCGTCTAACTCGGTTAATCAAGTAGGCTTTCGTCCATGCCGGTATCGAGTTGCAGCGGCATAAGTTGTATTGCCACGTGAATGGCTACGGCAGGATCATGGAAATCCAAGAAAGGCCAGGGAGGATGGAATAGAGGATTGGTGATTGGCTAGGGATAATAGAGGGTCTCGATTGGTGGATGACTAATGTTTGGAGGGCGTATAAATAGAGTAAGATTGGATTGAGCACTGGCAATGTCGTCACCTCTTCCGTCCCCTTCCTCCCCCAGGACTCCTCTAGCAAGCCGCCAGTTTGGCCAATCCATCCCGCACTGCCTAGCGTGCAACCCCACCGGCTTCCATGTGTGCCAGAACTGACGGCGTATGCTGCAAGGAGCTGATTCACGATGAGCGTACTCTAATCGACCCAGATGTTATCCGCGACGTGTAAGTCCGAGTTTTTACCATTGTGCGACACGTAAAGGTTCTCACGAGCGTGCATTAGTGTAATAGGTCTTTCAGATGGCTTGACTGTCCCTTTCGCCTTGACGGCCGGTCTTTCCTCCCTGGGAGAATCAAAACTTGTCGTACTAGGTGGAATCGCCGAACTCATTGCTGGTGCGATATCCATGGGAATCGGTGGCTTCCTCGCCTCCCAAGCAGAGGTGACCACTATCGCTACCTCCACCATCAGACTGCCCAACGCGTCCACCATAGTTGTGAAGGCGAGATGGAACGAGAAGTTGCAGAGGTGCTCGTCCAGTAGGCGTTGACGTCAAGACGTGTCATGCGGTCGCCAAATGTCTTCGTGACGTCGAAGAGGATCAATCTATGCCGGGTTACATCAATGGCCAAGCGGTCAGGGACGTGGAAAATAATAAGCTGAGATGGAGTACAGAAATCGGATTAACAGCGTTCCTTTTGAAATTTGGTCAGGAATGGGTACGTTTTCAGCGATTCATCGACGACAAATTTTCACTGACATCTTCTTCTAGAGGAAGTCCCTAATCGACGGATGTATATCTCGGCCTTCACCCTTGGAATAGGCTATCTCCTTGGCGGCATCATCCCTTTAATACCCTACTTTTTCATCGCGAGAGCCCACGTCGCACTCATTTACTCTTCAATAGTCACCGGCATCGTGCTGCTCATCTTTGGCGCAATCAAAGCACGTATAACTGGCGCTGCCCAGAGCCCCGGAGGTTACATCTGGGGCGCGTTCAGTACGCTCATGGTTGGTGGCATAGCTGCCGCTGCCGCCTTTGGCATAGTCCGGGCTTTAGAAGCAGGTGGTGATTAAGGACTTTTGGACATGTTGGACTTCAGCTTATGATCTTTTTTCTATCTATTTTCTATCTTGCCCCGCCCCTTTTATTGTCATGCCGCCGGAAAAGGTTGGCATGTGTAATCCCATCCACCATCCTACCTCTGTACTCGTAGCAACACATTACCATAATCACTTTCTTTACATATTACTACAGGAATTTATCTTCCTGCTTGAGAGAGCAGATTCTGTACTGGCTAAGGCACTTTTGAGCAAAAAAAAGTATCAGTCTAAATGGGAAAAATACTACACAGGACCTCTGTCCCAGAGAGACTCGAACTCTCTATCTTCCGATAACTTCATCGCCTTTGGATTCAGTATGTAACAGTCGGACGCCGTAACCAACTAAGCCATGGGACATATGAGCAAGGGATCCTGGAAATGAAGGTTTTTGTGGCTACATAGTTGTCGACATCTTCCTTGGACCACCTGGAATTATAACACGAGAGGAACAGGGTGCAGGGTTCTGGTAACGGGATCGGAGCAGCTTGACGGCAGGAGAACAACAGGTTTTTAAGAGAACCTGGACGATACGCCCCAAAAGGAAGAAGTAGACGTGGTTGGACCTGACCATCGTTTCTTTCAAGTACATTGTGTCGTACACTGCAATGAGAACAATGACTCTTCCGATTCACTGGGAAAGACAACGGTATATCACGGGTACGACCATGTAAAGGTCTTGTCCATCGCGTAGTTGATATGCGAAGAAGCCTCGAGGTCTTGGTGCAGTTGTCGTCGGAAGCCCAACACAAAATCACAAGCTGCTCAGTGCCAGACCCGTTGAATGAAGTAGCAAGATAGCCAAAGCTCATGAAAGTAAAACCAAAATACTTCCCGACTGCTGATGGAAACGTCGACCATGGCAGGGACAGATGAGTCGAGAATGATCGCACTGGGAAAGGATGGCAGGGAAACCGCAGCCACAGCACGCTGGAAAAGCAAGGCAGTTCATTTGGGCTGTCATGAAGAGGGGCCTTAGTGGACTGGAATGCGAGGTGGGGGGGCTGAGTCTGCGTGGCGGTGTTTTGTGATATATGTAAGCGGACCTTGCCTTTCATTCAAAACGACGCTTGACACGGTTTATACTAAACCACCTCCATCATAGTACACCAGCCTTCAAAATTTATCGAGGAAATACCTATGGGTGCCTCTCAAAGTCGGTCCGGCGAAGGCAAGGCGCCCATCGACCGCCTCAAGCGGTATTCTCATGCAAACCTCAAGTCACCTCTGAAAGCCGCGTTTGGAAAACAAAAGAAAGGGCACTCGACAGAGTCTGCACGGGTGAAAGGGACGTTGGAATCCGAGGCAACAAGCAGTGACTATGAGACACCCATCTATGAGACGAGAGCGCGGAGTGAAGCGGTGAGCGGTCCATTCTATTTATGGGTGGCTGTGTTGTGAATTGATCATGTCGCTCATCCTTGTCTCGACAGCTATCTCAACCGCAACCACTACTTCCGCTCCCACCTGCCTCTGCCTCAGCGATGCCTACAACAGTCCCGTGCCAGGTTTTGTCTTTGTCCTCGCTCTATCACTCCATCGTTAACCCTGATCTCGCAGTATCGCACTGGGAAGACCCTCGGCAGCGGCACCTATGCCATCGTGAAGGAGGCCATCCATATCCAGACAGGGAAATACTATGCCTGCAAGGTCATCAACAAGAGACTCATGGAAGGGCGCGAACATATGGTGGCTTCTCCTTTCTGTCCCATTCCGGTCGATCGTCCTCACCAGTTCCGCAGGTCCGTAACGAGATCGCGGTCTTGAAGCGCGTTTCTAGCGGCCATCCTAACATTGTCACTCTCCATGACTACTTTGAAGTACGCTGCTTCTACTTTGACTTAATCCCATGCTTAAATCTGCCTGATCAGACTTCGCACAACCTCTACCTCTGTTTCGACCTATGCACGGGCGGGGAGCTCTTCGACCGGATATGCGCAAAGGGAAACTATTATGAAGCGTAGGTGTACGTCCAGCGCCCAAGTATCAATCCCAATTACCTTTTTCTTAGCGATGCAGCATCCCTTATCCGCACCATTTTCAAAGCAGTCAAGTACATCCATGATTCGGGTATCGTTCATCGGGGTCAGTTTCCCCCTGATTCCTTCCATTTATCTTTTGATTTTATGGTGTCCAAATAGACTTGAAACCCGAGAACTTGCTATTCCGTACTCCAGCTGAAGACGCCGACATCATGATTGCCGATTTCGGATTGAGTAGGATTATGGAAGAGGAGAAGTTAAATCAGCTGACCGAGATCTGTGGAACGCCTGGGGTAAGTAGATCATTTCCATCATTTTTTGGAGATTGGGCAACTTGCGTGAGTTTGTTACTGACCCTTTCCTTTTAGTACATGGCACCGGAGATCTTCAAGAAGAGTCAGTATCCTTCCTTGAGTTCTAGATTCGTGTCTTACTTATCTTTCAGCTGGGCACGGGAAACCTGTTGACGTCTGGGCGATGGGCGTTATCACCTACTTCCTCCTTGCTGGATACACCCCGTTTGATCGCGATTCGCAGCAACAAGAAATGGAGGCCATCATTGCAGGCGACTATAAGTTCGAACCCGAAGAATACTGGCAAAATGTCTCAGAGACAGCAAAAGATTTTGTTCGGACATGCTTGGACGTTGATCCTTCAACTCGGCCCACAGCTGCTGTTGCATTACAACACAAGGTGAATTTTTTCCAGTCTTCTGCTGTAGCGCTTGCTCAATTTAAACAGTGGCTGGCTTCTGAAGAGCCTCACTTCGTACCTCGCGAAGACGGCGGTCCGGCCGACCTCCTGCCCAACGTCATGAAGGCCTTCAATGCAAAAAAACTATGTGAGCATCTACTTGTTTTATTTCACAGTCCTACATTGATATCGTAAAAAACAGGGCGCAAAGCGACATCGACAATCAAGGCTGTAAACAGAATGACTATTCTTGCTCATGCAGACAACTCTTTAGCACAAATGAGGGATGATCTTAATAAGTATAAGGAAGAATCAGCCAGAGTGAGTTGTTCTTGTGAAGTGTTTATACAATATGGCTGAATCTTTTTTGTTCAGGAAAACCTTGAGGTCAGCCTATTATTTCCATAATGTTTGGTTTTTCTTGCAAATTGCTGATGTTTTTACAGCACGTGGATATTACATATCAGGAAGGAGGGCGGTCAAGGTAATTAATGATATATCTGTAAAAGAGCACAATGATCTCTCAAGCAAGATGGCTCATATTAGTCTTGATGAAAAGGTTGCAGGGGGATAGAACATATAAGCTTTGACTTATTGCGAGTATGTGATATTGGATTACATTTTGTAGGCAGATATACCTTAGTTTCTGGTCTTCTGGATCTTTTTATTTGTTTTTTGTCAGGCATGCAGTTTGGGGTATGTAAGTGTCTTGATATAGGCCTATTAATAATCTGAAGGGTCTGATTTTGTATGGAGGTAACCAATAAAGCTAGAGTGAAAGTCTGATGTACCAATGTAGGACAACACCAAGTTCACACAGGAAATGAATATGACCAGTTTATGATTATAAGAGAAATGTTATAAGAGACAGGGATAGGTAGTGAGGGATCCAAAAGAAAGGTAAGAACCCTTGAGGGTCCTTATATAGTGAGCACAGATGCATCAGTAAATAGTGGGGAGGCGCAATGGCTGCGATCAAAGATTTCTATTTGTAGTTGTTTATCTCCCTGCCTGGGACATGGAAACCAGGTTAGACAAAATATCATCCAAATCAAGCACCGGACCATCAAAATATGTGCCAAAATGAGGTATATGGTTGATTCCGCAGGTTTTGGGTAACTTTTGGGCCTGGACTGGTCAGAGTAAGGGACTGAATGTACATAAAAATAAGACCCTTTTATACTTCAGCAACTCCCCTTACTATGAAAACTTATACAAAACCCACAGAAAGGCTTAGAAATGAGTTTGTGACAAGAATTGGAGCAAAAGAGGCTCTCTGGCAGACCTTATGCTGTTTTCAAAAAACGGTGGCCAAAATGACTGAAATCAGCTTACATAACACAAATAAATTGTGGTCATGCCAATTAAGGAATACATGTGATGCATGTCAGAGTGCATCAGGACATGTCGAGTACATTAAAAAAATCCTTCTACATGTCAAAACCCCCTATCCTGCATGCCCAGAGGCCTTTACATCATCTGGATACTTAATTCCAACCTATAATTCAACTTAATCCAACTCATCAGCATTTTAATGATGCATACTTACAAAAGAAAGCAGAAGTTGTTGACCCAGGCACAGAAAGACCATCTTGCTTGTGCTCAAGAGGCCTACAGCCTAAAAATGGCAGCTCATAAAGACATCAAAAGGATCTTATGGTTATGGAAACTCACCCAACAATCCAAGAGGCAACTAAATAACCTTGATATCTACCAGGCCAAGGCTAAAAAGGCAGCTACATGTTACTGGAGCTTGTGAAGGCAGCTAAAATGGTTGAAAAAGAGGGATCAGAAACAAAAGAAAGAGTTGAGAAAGGTAAAGGAGGATAATATGAGGCTGAGGTGAGAGGTAGAGGAGGCAGAAAAAGAGCAACAGAGGAAGAACAAAGATATCAATGAGGTCCTCAGCAGATTCCACTTGCAGATTGCTGGGCTCTCCAAAGAATGGTCAGAACTTTGAAAGGAGAGGACCTGTCTCAAGAAGAAGGTATCCCAGCTACAGAAAATGAAGAAGGCCACAAAGGCACATGCTCATCAGGAAATAATTTGTGGACATTTTTTCAAGCTCACCCATAAAGGCGTCTACACAAAACAGGCTTGAGAAATTGCACAATATCTTACCTCTACAGGAACAGTAGAAAAAAAGGTTGGGAGGGCAATAGTAGCTGTCAGAAAGATGATGGGTTTAGAGGTGAATCACATCATGAGCAAGCAGACCATTCAGCATGCCATTCTGGAATCAGGTGTTGTGGCGGATATCCAACATGGGTATGAAATGGTTAAAAGTGATAGTGAGTGAACAGCAAACATTTCTAGATAGAGGCTAATATTACATTTTACCTTTAGAATTGACCTACAGCTCTCATTCAATGTCACACAAGCACATTGAATATGAGTCTTGAACAATTGCTGTCAAAGTTGTTGACTATACAAAGCCTGAGGCAGAACCAACCTGGAAATTGTGGACTCTAGGGGTTGACACATCTGTCAATCATACTAGTGAGACCCAAGTAGAGGGTCTATGAACCAGACTCACTGAGATCATGGCAGTTTTCAATGACAGTCCTCTCGCAAAGCACAAAAACCTAAAGTTTACCCTAGATGACTTTGTATTTAAACTTGTCGGAACTAGTAGAGACCATGCTGCTGACCAGAAGAAAAGCCATGAACTCATATGAGAATGGA